TTTCTTTAAAAAGTTTGATGAGGGCATTATCCTATTAGTAGTATATATGGACGATATTGTTATCATTGGAAGTGCATGTAACAGAATTTCATCTATGAAATCCTTTATCCATACTCAGTTTCACACTAAAGATTTGGGAATGTTAAAATATTTTTTTAGAGTTGAGGTGAATATGAGTAAAATAAGAATTTTCTTATCCTAAAGAAAATATATGCTTAATCTATTACCAGAACTGGTAAAATTAAGTGTTAAACCTTGTAGTACTCCAATGGTCCCCAATCTACAATTAATCAAAGAAAGTGAATTATTTGATGATCCTAAAGGTACAAAAGAGTTATTGAAAAATTGAATTATCTTATCGTAACATGTCTTGATATTGTTTATCCAATGAGTTTTCTAAGTTAGTATATGTCATCACCAATTGTCAATAATTGAAAAGCAGTAGAACAATGTTTGCATTATCTAAAAAATGCTCTTGGACGTGAAATTTTATACGACAATCATGGTCATACTAGGATCAAATGCTTTTCAGACTCGAATTGAACAAGATGGAAGGAAGATATAAGATCTACCTTGGAATATTGTGTTATTGTTGGAGGAAACTTAAAGTATGTTTGGTTCTAGAAAACATTTTCTATTTTTGTTTTCTATTATTTTAAAAAATAGTTTTCATTTTCAGTTTTTTAATTATAAAACATGATAAAAATAAAAATAGTGAAAATATATTTGGTATCTATATTTTAAAAAAATAGAGATGAACAAATAATTATTAAATAATTAAATTAAAATATAACTATTAAGAATTTCAATACATAAATTTAACATGTGAGTTATGCAAATATAAAAAAATAAAATTAATAAGAAATTTCATAACACAAAAATCATTTTAGTTTATAAAAAAAATATAATGTCAATACAAATTAAACATCAATTAAATTAAAAAAATACGTAGAAAAAAGTATTGTGTATGTAAGAGTACACAAAAATATTATTCAAATGAAAAATATATGTTTAATAATATTTAAAGCCCTCAAACTTTTGAAACAAAATAACGTAGTGCACTCAATGCGACCCTTAAACTGAGAAAAATCAATCTAATCCTTTGACTAACGGAATCCAATGTTGATCGTCATAACGCTTATACGACAGTTCACGAGGCTTACATGAAAATCTACAATGTTGATGTGACAGTTCACGATGTTGTTGTGACAGTAGACGATGAAAAATGAGGTGGTAAATAGATTTAATTGATTTTTTGGTTAACTTCAAGGACCTAATTGATTTTTTTAAGAAATTTTCAATATTTTTTTATTTTTATAAAATAAGAAATTATTTAAATTTAAAATGTAAATAATTATTAAGCACTAAGTATATTAAATAAACAACAACAACAACAAAACCCTATTCCCATATACGATGGGATAAGGGGAGGTAGTGTAGTAGGCTGCACCCAACGCCAGGTTGAGAGCAGCTTCTGTGGGAAACCTCCGGTAGTCAGAAAATTTAAAAATAAAGATACAATACAATGAATGTATAAATAATTATATAAATACATAGTTAAACAATCTTCTTATGCTGTCTTCATATGTGCGTCTGTAATGTGAAGTAATACCTACAAATAAATCTCTGCATATAGACAGAAACGTAAGACCTGACTAAATTCAAAAAGAGGAACTCGTGTAAGTTAACTTAAAAATGTAGATGTCATGTTTTCCTATTTTCAAATTTCCAAAAATAATTTTAATGAAAACATTGAAAACATTTTTGTTATGTTTTTGTATTTTCACTCATTTTTATTTTTATTTTCTAGAAATCATTTTCTAATTTTACAATCAAACACCATTTTTATAATGTTTTTATTTTCTAAGAAAATAAAAATGGAAATAGCTTGTATTTTCTAAAACCAAACGGATCCTTAGTTTCATGAAAGAGTAAGAAACAAAATGTGGCCTCACGATCTAGTGCAGAAGTCGAATATAGAGCAACGGTCAAATTCGTATGTGAAATCATATGGGTATATTAGCTCATCGATGAAGTATGAATTAAAGTTTTAGCACCTGTAAAATTCTAGTGTGATAATCAAGATGTGCTTCATATTGCTTCCAACTCTGCCTTTCATTAACGAAACATATTGAGATTAATTGTCATTTCATTCGCGAAAAGATACAACAAGGTTTGATCACTACTAGATTATATGAATATTGGATAACAACTATGTAATATATTATATTACATAATTTAATTATATTAATTATATATAGCCAATTTCTACTAATGAATAATATACAAGCGAAAAACATTCTTTACAATTTTCTACAATTAATATATAAATGTAGAAAAAATATAGATGTTAATATTAAAAAAAACAATAATTTTAAATATTAATTTTAAAAAATAAATTAATTTAAGAGGTAAAATAAAACTTATACTATATTTTTTAAAATTCATAAATGAAATTAAACGAAATTCGATTTGAACTTTAAATCTTGAATTCAATTTAAATATCAATATCTGAATTTACCAACTATACAATAATTTTTTTATTAGTATGGAGTAAATAAAATGTAATATTTATTCAATCCTTGATTATTTGACATTGAACACTTATACATTTGTATATTTAATATTCAAACTCGTGATTTCACAGATTAACAATCTTTTTATCACCTAAATTGTTTGGTTGATGCTACTATAGCAATTTTGAATTCTATATAATCATGGTACGGATAAAAATAGTAATAAACATACATTATATTCACGCTTAAAATTTTAGTATATATTTTTGAAACTTATGTTAGCGCGAATGACATAAAAATAAGGTTAATTTCATTAATTAAATTATAGTAAAGTAATTTATAAATTATAAGTTTAATTCAATTTTGATTTAAGAATCACATGTTGAAAATTAAAATTAAAACGATATACTAATTTGAAAAATGAGAAATTTTGTAATAAATTAAGTTGTTTTTATTCCCTTATTTGTCTCTGCGAAGGACCCTGCCAAAATCCAGTCTCACAAAATTGATCCCACATCTTATTTTCAAAATCTTGGACACTCGCGCAGCAATCATCGTGATTATCACCTTCACGTTGCTTACCTTGCCCCATCATGCAGTCCAGATCAACTTCCCATTCCTCCCTTGCGGGCAAACGTTTTGTGGGGCCTAACAAATCTTGATTCTTCTTCACACTCGTCGCTTCTTCCATCTCCAAGTGTTCTGGTCATGGTTTCAAATCGCGGTTGTGTTTTTGTTTATTTCAGGTTTACCGTAATTGTAAACGTCGCGGACGCTATTAGACGCTATTACGAGTGTAGCAGGTAACTCGGACGGCGACGAAATTATAATTTCGTGGAATAAATCACATTTTCGAACCGTGATTTAAAACCCTGGTTCTGGTAAACCCTGGCGGGGAACTTATAAAGGGCTAACACAACTAGCTGTACGATGCTGCATGGAAAACGACAACAAACCGCCGTGCATTCCACCGTAGTGTCACCGATGGCTTGCCCTAATCTATTCCTTTTTTTCATCTTCTTTGGATCCTCCGTGTTGAAATATGCATTCTAGAATATGCAGTGCATTCTAGAACATGCACTGCTAATGTGTGCATTGAGTGTGGTGTGAGTTGGTGTGAGTTGTTATGATTGTTTTGGATTCTGTTATGAATGTTGTTATAGGAAGTTAAGAGATTGAGTAAGCTTGAAGTCATAGCTGCTATATAAGCTGGTTATGATGTAGTTGCATGAGAAGCATAATAATATATCAGATTTTAGTCATTGATTGCCCCTTTCTCACATTATTAAAACGCTTGCCTCCGTTTCGCCGGCTGTGCTCTCATCATAGTAGGAACCATCGTTGGCCAAAATGTAAAGAATTCTCCCTACCTTCTCTCAATCAGACCAAAAAGAACACACATATAGAGAGTTAGAGGATAGAGAGAACGAGGAGCGTGATTTTGAAAAACAAGTAACCATGGGAGAAGAAAATTAAATCCAACAAACAAATTAAAGAGAGGTTTTTAACAACTCGGAAGAATAGCCGGGAATCTCGAAAGATAAGTCTAGTTAGTGTATATTGTTTTTCGTTCTCGTGTATTTGAAATATTAAATACAACTACTTAATACGTTTGCTTTGATAAGCGCACCCCCAACATTTTTGAGATGTGATGATGAATGCTTTTGTCATAACCAACATATTCCCCAATAAACCATTTTACCGTTCAACGTCGAAGATGACTAGAGAACTTCTGATGTGAGTGGGAGGGTGGGCCAGTTAAGGATAAAATTGTAAATTGCGTATCGAAAGATCATAACAAAATTTAAATTATAAGTAGTCAATAGTATTATTATTTTGAAAAGTTTTCAATGCTTTCAGATGTGAATGATGTATGGAGCTCAAAGGATGTAGAAGGGAACCCAACCGTGGTGAATGGGTTAGGCTTATGATATGATGTTCGTGTCAAGTGAGAGTAAAGTAAGCTGTAGACATTAACACCGGAACTGGTACAGTGTTATATTTTCCCAATAAATGATTTTACAATACTTATTTTCTAGTTGCATTATATTTTCATCTTGTTACGTAAAAGCTGAGAGATCACAAGGACATTGTTGGTTGGCAACTTTCTGTAATTCTTTCTGCTTATCTTTACCAATTGTATGTGTATATCGTCCTAAGGAAAGTCGGTACAAGTTATCCTTGGTGCGGCAAATGTTTTGGTTGAGTGGATGTTAATGATGGATTAATTGTGTGAGAAACTGTAGCAAAAAAGTTTAGGACAAATTGTTGTTTTAGATATAGTTTAATGGTCAAATTAAGTATTAATCATTTTTTGCTAACATGACTTGAGTTAGCGTGCAAATGAGCATTTGTTATTTATCAATAATTTTAGTTACTAAAATGTAAATTTTGAAGCTTTAGTGACCAACTTAAAAACTCACCAAACTTTAGTGAGCTTAGATAATATAGTTTACCCAAATAAAAAATATTAGGGCACCGGAGTTGGCACCAAAATACCCCATAGAAAGGAATGGTTAATTACAGCACAGATTACATGCATATTTAATAGGATTTAGAGTTCTGAATTAATATGGAAAACACCAGGGGCCTGTTAAAAACAGTGATTTAACAGACATTTTAGTGATCCACCCCTAACAATATCTTAGCCTCCTCGAAAGTTGCCCAAACACACTGTAAATCTGCTTCCAGCTTTTCAGACAACAAACCCGAATGGGACGACAACAATTGCTTCACCTTCTGCCCAGATGCAGCTCTCAACGTCTGCAACTGTTCTAGTTTCCTTATCTCGAGCTTCAGTTCTTCATCAAAGGCCTTCATCTCCGCCTCGACAAGATCTGCATCAAAAACATTCTGCTGATATTCCAAGATCAGACTATCGATTTCAGCTTTCCCATTCTCGTAAGTTTCGAGGAGGGTCTCTTTTTCTTGGATTGAACGTTCCATGGCAAGCTTTAACTCGTCCACCGACTTTGATCCTTTTTGTATTTCCATTGAGACAGCTTCTACATCGTGTTCTACCTTTATCAGCAGATTGTTCAAATCCCGGTGTCTCATTTTAATGGCTGCCAAGCTTTCGCGGGATGACTTGATCTCGTTTTGCAGCTTGCTTTTCTCTTCTTCAGTCTTCAGTAAATCGGTAGCTTTGCCACCTAAGTTTCTCTGCGTGGGATCGACTTTATCCAAGTTATCAATGGCGAATAAAACCTTTTCATTCTCTTGTCTTTTGCGTTCTTCCTCAAGCTTTGATTTCAAAAGGACAATGTTGTTCCTTGTTGCTGATTCAGATTCCCGTGTCTCATTCAAGGACGCCTCGATTTCGACCTTGGCGTTGTTAAGATTGACCAGTTCTTGTTTCTTGTTGTCCAAGTAGGACAACGAGGCATTGAGTTTCGACCTTGCTTGAGCTTCTCGCTGTTCCAAGAAAGCAACTGAACAAGAAAAGCTTGAAATAGAGTATTTGAGTGCTGATAACCTACTTTCAGTTAAAGCTTTTCTTTCTTTTGTTTCGGAAGAAATGATTGCAACAGATTCAAGGTGTCGTTGTTTCTCCTTTATCCCACGTTCCATCACTTCTATTTCTGTGGAAAAGTTATCGATCTCAAGCAACGATTTCTCAAGGGAGCTGAATTCAGTAACTGTCTTAGCAGAATCCAAAAGTCTTTCGTTTGCCTGTTTAAGTATTGCTCTTGCAGAAAATATATCTTCGGACAACTTTGCAGCAGTGCTATCTGGTTGGTCTATTTCCATGTGATTCCCGGCTTCTGACTGATGATCCGAATGTGCATCGTCGACATTCAGAATCACTTCGGACAACTTTCTGTCTCCTGCATTCTGCTCATGTAAAAAGAGGGGACCAGTTTCCCCCTCTAAATATTTTGACTCAAACTGTACATGAGGTTTACCCAAGCTGCCTTCTCCGCCGTCGACTTCAACTAGCTTCTCAAGGCATTCTATGTGATTCCCTGCTTCTGACTGATGATCCGAATGTGTATCATCGACATTTAGAATCACTTCAGACAACTGTCGACTTTCACCTGCATTCTGCTCAGGTGAACAAAAGGGGGCAGTTTCCCCCTCTAAATCCTTTGAGTCAAACTGCACATGAGGTTTATTCAAGTTGCCTTCCCCTCCGTCGACTTCAACTAGCTTCTCAAGGCATTCAAATTCTCTAGGCTCCTTTCTGTTCGGAGTTCCCAAAGAGGAAAACATCCGTTTGAATTCATCTCTCTCCTGCATTGCTCTTTCATACAAACCCATCAATTTGTCATTTTCTTCATGCATTTCAGTAAGCTGTTGCTCAAGGTTATCGACATCTTTCTTCAGCTTGACCAGCTCTTCACCATTTTCATGTAAACCAGCATCAGTGTGATTTGTGAAATATTCATTAATGTCACCTTCATTCAAACTTTTACAATTTCTTTCATCAGCTTTCTGCTCAAATAATTCAAGGAGTTGCTTATTATCCTCAACATAGCCCTTAAGCTTGGATCGTAATTCATCGTTCTCTTGGGATAACTTAAATGCTTTCTCATGAGCTTCTGCTTCTCGCTGACTTGCAGCTGCTATGGCATCAACCATTGTTTTAAGCTCCACTTGGTCATTAGGATTGTTGATAGTTGGCACATCCGCTGACAATGAAAGAAGTTCTGTTTGTTGTATAGCTTCCTTCGCAGATCTTGAAGGCCGTTCTTCTTCAAGTTTGTTTAGTAAATCACTCACGTACCTGCATCCATTTACAATTAATTTTTCGGAAATGCATATAAGATATGATGCTGCATGATTGTTTCTTCGATTTGTACATAATCTCTTAAATAATTGAACATACCTCTCCAACTCTTCCTTCTCTTCCAGACAAAACTCAAGTTTTTTCTGGAGTGCATCCATTTCTGCCTTGTTGTGAATGGCCTGTTAAACAAAAATGTTTATGAATGAATCGCATGAACTCCAGCTTTTACTAGAAAAAGAGGTACAAAGAAATAGTTCATTGGAGTATAGCTACCTGCATTCTAAGAAATTCGTTTTCCTCCTTGTGGTTAGAGCACCAAGCTGAATCCTGTTTGCAATATATCAAAATTTCTTTTTTTAGGCAAGAAATAAGTAACAATATATATTTTATAGCAGTATACACATTGCAAAAGACAACATAAGTTTTTCTTTAAATTCAGACATCCAATTTGATGTCAAAATAGTATGCCTCTTATTTGCTGTCATAAACATGCCCAAATGTCAAAGAAGTTAGTGGCTATCTTATGTCTCACAAACCTCTTAATACTAGACCAAGAGATTATTGGCAATTTGAAAGAAGATCAACACAAGTATAGCATAGTATTGTTCTATGGGATTAATTTCAACAGCAGAAAATATTTAGTTACATCACCAAAGAAACATGCTTGAAATTGAAATGTTAATAGAGTTTTAAAATGTACACTCGAAAGAGAGCTGTCTATTCATTAAGATATTACAATTAGAGAAGATTGTGTTGGAAAAGTAATCTCTCAGTTGTATTAATTCAGATTATAGTAAATTGCAAACAGTTTCCAAAGATATATATAGATGCATGAGAAAATAACCACTGGGAACCTGGAAGACAGTGGATAATATTAACCAACCTGTCTCAGTTCATTGAGGTCATCAGAAACTCCGGATACCACTTTAGAGTTTGTTTTCTGTATTGCATGAACATTTCAAAACCAAGATTTAGAAAATTTTCGTCGCAAAAATTAAAATCATCAAAATTCAAGTCATGACAAAGGTTAGCAAGAACCTCAATGGTTAAGGAATCTGATTCATGCATAAGTTTCCAATCTAGTGCCTCTAGCAACTGCATAATAGTCAATGGAGTAAGCAACATTTTCCCTAAATATCAATATTGATCATGAAATTAAAAAGAAGTAAAATATTTGAATAACTTCTTTTTGCACCTTATTGTGTAATGCCTTAATCTGTTCATTCATCATCTCCAGTTGGCCTTCATCACTAAGGGACTTTAATCTGTGAGTAGGAACAAACATCAGATACATAATATCAGCGCAACACAGATATCAATGATAAAGAACATGTAATAGAGCATGTTAACCACTCAAAGCGCTTGTTGGTTTCTCATAATAACAACTATATTTGGTATTTATAACTCAGTATAGATCTCAATAATAGAGCAAGTAAAATAACTGGATAATGTTCAAAGAGTGAAATGGAGAATCCTGAGGATCAGGTGAACATGCCTTCTAATCTCCTCCTTCAGTCGCAAATTCTCCAGGGCAAATCTAGTGACTTCTTGGTTCCGATCAACTTGAGCTCTTAAAACCTCAATTTCCTTCATGTATTCTTCTTTCTCTTGTAACAAATTTGACCCTGCAGAGATCTTGCCAGAAGCAACAGCTTCCAGCCTCTTAATTCCTGCTTCTCGAAACCTTAACCTCATTTTCAAGCTTTGGATCTCATCTTCTCTTTGTTTTGCCTAACAACAGTCCGAAGCAGAGTGACAATTTTCTTCTAATAACTGATCAAACTACATTATTCTCTAAAGTTACATAAGTGAAGATGAGAAATCCTTTATATATTAAAATTTAAGCATATCATATACCTCGATATTAACTGCCAAAAAATTCAGATTTTTTTTTTAACTTATAAACTTTCCAGCCAGGAAGACTGAGATCTATCAAATACAGAAAAGTTACATCATAGTACATACCAACTGCAAAGCTGCCTGATTCTCAGCGGTCAGGGCCTGTAAAGCGACTTCCTTCTCTCTTTCCCTCTTGAAGGCCCCAACAAGTGCAACTTCATAGTCTTTTTTCTGGAACACAAAGTCATAATCAGAAGGAAAAGAAAATTAGTTCAACAACTCTAAAATAGGCGTTTCCTCAATCAAGTAAGATTTCTGTATACCTGAGACATCCTTTTATCAGATGTAAGTGGACTGAATGATCCATGAAGACCTTCCCACTTTAAGGGCCCTGGAGATGCTGGAACACTTGATGCCAAACTATCATTATCTAGATTTTCAGTTCTGCCATTAATAAAACCTCGTAGACGAGATACTTCTTTCTGAAAGAAACATAATTTTGAATATTAAGGAAAACTAGAAACCTGAAAGATTATGGGAACCATGCAAAATATATAAATAAAATGAATCATGACACAAGTTGGATTCATTAAACAGAAGTGTGCTTGCTGCTTGAAATGTCCTACAAAATTAACATTTATTAACTTTGCAAAACATAACTCACAGTATAACATTACTAATGCAGGAGGAGCACTTTAGGGAGGGTACTTTAAAAAACACGATCACAAGTTTAACAATATTACCTTCAGCTGTTGAATTTGCAGCCTCATAGCAACAACATCTCCAGATGCATCTTCATTCACCACTGCCTGCAAGACATTGACTCAAGTAATAAATATTAACTAGAGTGTGACAAAGCAAATAACAGGGATAATATATATATATATATATATATATATTATAACTATCTTATATAGTATTTAAAGATATTTTCACTATTTAAAATGAAAAATACTTAATTTATATTATAAAAATCATAACAAATTAAATAAAAATAGAATTTGGTTCGGATAATCATTTTTTTAAATGTGAACCATTAACCGTCCAAACACTACGACGGTTCGGTTCGATTTTCGGTTTATTCAGTTTCTTTTCTCACCCCTATTCAAGGGTTGGCATCAATTTCCATTGAGACAAATCACCAAACATGCATTGTATGTAATGTAGCTAAGCAAAGATCTCATACATTGTTCTTTATAAATTTAGCCCGCTGTGCAAACTTCAGCGTACTAAGTGTCTCCAGTGAACAACTACAGAGGATGGCCAAAAGAAGAAAAAGAAAAATTGTCATTTACAATTATATACTCTAACAGATTAAGTCGAGCTCATTGAAAGACAATAAAAGTACATATAAAATTCAAGTCATTGTAAAAAATATAGTTAAAAAATATAAATTAAAAAAAGAACAGATTCGCTCATGTAAATGGAATTTAAAATTGAAGTTTAAAACAACCAACTAGCACAGAAACAAAAACAAAATATATCCACTAACCAATTAGAGGGACTAATATTCGCAATTATTGTTGTTTTTGCATTTCCTCCTAGAGAATCCTGGAAGGAAAATAACAAGACAGAATTAACAGACAGTTGCATAGCATATCCTAGAAATATTTGTGTGTATATATAACCAAAACATGTTAGGATAACTGTACAGTAGCTACCCTAGTCCTGCAAACAAGGACTCATAGAAACGGATTTTACATCAAAAACTCCATCACATATATCACTTTACCTGAAGCAAAAAAGTGAGTTTTGAATCTCGATAAGGAACATGGAGAGACTTCCCATTGGAAATATTTACAAGGTTCATTATCACAAGTCTGCCAATATAAATTGTTATTTATGAGTGGTATAATGAGAAGTCAGAAGAAGGAGCATATAAATTGACATTAAAATTTAAATACTCACCCCAATGTGGAAAGAGACTTGTTAATATTAGTAGCCTCCTTGAGGCGTTCACCTTCAGCCCCAGAACTCTTCTGTCTGTCATGGGCAAATTATAAATGATATATTATGAACAAACTAGAAAAAAAGCGGATGTTTTTAATACTTCGACATTTTATACCTTTCTGAGCCTGCTAAATCAACAAGATTAAGACGAGCGAAGCGATGGTGAGTTACAGATTGAGACTCCCACTGATATCAAACACTTCGTTAGAATTGCTTGTCTCAAGGTAAAGACAATTCATGAAAGAGTATGAACAACGTACAATTTACTAGTGATTTCACAGGAACTCTTCAATTAAAAGGTCACACTTACCTTGCTTTCAATTATGCATGTAAATACACTGTGAGAACGACTACTAGCACAATTCATGTTAGTGGCAGCCACCTTTCTGTTTGCTGCACCCTGAAATATTATACAAAGCTTTTAGGTTAATAATGAGTTGGGTAGAGAACAAGGACAATTTTTTTAAAAGAAGTTGCTTAGATAATCAAAATAAACTCAAGAAAAACTTTCTTAACCGCCTTTTAAAGTCTATAACTTTTAACCAAAAATTTTAAGTGTGACCATCTACAATCTAGAGGTGCTTTATGATATGAGTAACTTTTTAGAGTCAGTACTTGAATGAGCAGTTGAATCACATCCCGTGCACTTGTAACTTCCATCTCCTTAAGATTCTCAGCGTAAACCCCATTCTTCATGTCTTCTCTTATCTGCAAAATTACCACCAAAGAGTAGTAAATTTCTTTAGTTGAGGAAAAGAAAACTTTTATTCCACACTAAGGACAAAATATTGTTCAACATACGCAAGTGACTTTACCTGTAAATTGGTTGACGATGGATCTAAAAGATCAAGAATTTGTTCATTATAGATTTCCAGAAACGAGCATTTGCATGTAAATCTTAATTTCTCATCTTTACGATTGTCTTTTTCCTGACATATCACAGAAGAATATTATGAGAAGCAACTATGTATTAAGTTTGGTAGAAACTTTGGTATTTGTTTTACTTACACAAGTTCAATTGCCATTTCCGTTACAGTATTAAACAGTTAATGAAGAAGTGCACAAGATTTAAGCTGAAATGCTTTTCAACACACACAAAATTCAAAACTAACCCTTAGATCAATCTACCAATTATGATTTTGCAAATAGTATAATTGTCTATATGATCATAAGAGAGACTTATTTTGCAACTGAAGGAAGTAAATTGCACCCAAGAAAGTTGCGAAGCAATTTCAGTCACAGTATGCTTAACTTCACATACACCACACCTTTTGTATTCTTGTAAATAAGTGTTCAAACACCCTAGGTATCATCCCACAGTTGACACTGTGCCTCCGAGTCCCTCCTTCAATGTCTCCGAGCATTGTGTGAGTCTTCCCACTCCCAGTCTGTAATAATAAATTTTAAGTTGGAGTCAATACCAAAACAAGAATAAAAAGAAAACCAAATCAAATTAAATAATTTTAGAGACTAATAAAGTGTGAAATTAATCAACAATTCATGGAAATACTAGAATATATTTTACTCAAGAAGAGAGATTTGGAAGCTCACTTGACCATATGCAAACATGCAGCTGTTGTAGCCTCCCATGCAATTTTCCACCATAGGCAACCCAGCTACTTTGAAGAGATTCTCCTGTAAAATCACTTAAATGTCATATTTCAAAATAACAGACCTATACATAAAAATTAAACCAAAAAGAAATAAGATAAAAAAGAAGCATACCTGGCTAACATGTTCATCAGCAACAAGATCAAATGTAAAACGAGATTCTGGGTGTCCCGTCCAAGTAATTGTTTGACAACTTTCTTGCCTAATACACTTACTATTGCCTTGTAGTGAGATTTCGGAACTACTAAGGGGACGAATTCTTATGATAACCTAATAATTTGCCAAAAAACAAACTAAAATTAGATCCAGTTAGCTTAACTTTATATACTCTCAATAATATATTTCTTTGCTTGGTTTTCTATTGAACTACTGGCTTTTCTACTTGCACAATAAAATACAAAACATCATTGTGACAAATTATAATTTCCCTTTTTATACTTTTTTTAATCTTAACAAATAAATTCCCAGAGAAATACGTACTCAGAAAACTACGTTTTGGCTATCCAGAACATTTCTTCCTTCCTTCCTTTGACTTTTCCCCTCTTTTTAGACTTTTGTTAAGAAAACTAAACATAATATTCAAACATTTCAACCAACCTGCACATTGTGATCTTTCCAAAACAATGCATCTTCATGGAACTCAAAGCTCTGGGACGACTGCGTCTTTCCTCCTTTACTTTCAGTCAAATCTTCGTCCCACTCACTGATGCTCGGAATTGCGGCCGAGGCAGCAGTGAAATGGCTGGGATTCTCCTTAACTGCTGATTTCTCTAGAAGATCCGGCGTATTACGAACCGACGACAAGGAGACCGACTCAGATGAAGATGACCGGTTATGGAAGCCAAAACGGCTCTTGATAGCGCTCGCTGTATCCGAAATGAACGGCATTGTGGAAGGGAATGGCTTCGTTTTGTGTGAAAGTGGAGTTTAGGGTTTGAGAGAGATTTGAAAGTGTCTAGGAAGAACGTTTGGAATAAAAAAGGGTAAGATTTTGAAAGGTTTTGTTAAGGGAGAAGGAAGAGAAAGAGAATCTCAGATCGGGTGGTATATTCTGTATAGATGTTGAAATGGACGGTGAAGATGAAGTGTGTTTTTGAATTATCGACCGTTGAGAATAGTAGAAAATTTTGAACTGCGATTTTGGAGCCACTTTTTAATCCATCTCAGCGTGAATATTTTATTTTTCTTTAAGAAAGCATTGAATTACCGAATTACCCACAGCTCACGTGGCTTCAATGCTGCTCAAACAGCTGGAGTTTCCTTGGAACAGACAGATTATTTAATTTCGGGTTAACTACCTTCTTAGTCATCAAACTGTTGAGAATGTATTTTCTTAGTCACCCCAACTAAAAATCTTGTAAATTTAATCACTATCATTACACTTTAATTTCAATTTAGTAACTTTTGGTTCGCTGTAATCCCTTGGAATTAGGGGGAATTGGAATACAATTTCACCACTATCTCATGTTTGGTTCTAGTTTTCAAAGGGGGAATTGGAATCCAATTCCATCAAGTGAGGGAAAGAATTACATCCATAACATAATAGAATTGAAATCCTTTGGAGGAGAGAATGTGAAATTTGACCATACTACCCTCATCAATCTTTTGGTATTCGGGTCAGATTTTTTTTTTAAATTTTGGGATCGGGTCGAATTTTTTTAAAAAAAATCGGGTTTGGGTCGAGTCAGGTTTTTTTAAGTGTGATATTCAGGTCAGGATTTTTTAAGTGTGCTATTCGGGTCGGGTCAGGGTTTTTTAATTGTGATATTCAGGTCGGGTTCGGGTTTAGGGTGAAAAATATCCGACCCGACCCGAAAAAAAATATAATTTTATCTTATATAATTAGGAATAATTACAATAATACCCCTTTATATATAATTTTTTTCAATTAAGTCACCATTTTTATTGAATAAAAATAATTTTTTATTATTTCGGGTCGGGTTTCTAATTCATATATTCGGGTCGGGTGAAACTTTATTTTGGTCGGGTCGGGTCTCGGGTGGAAGTTCCCTTGTTCTCGGGTCGAGTCGGGTGGACCAAAAACCTGACTCAACCCGATCATGGCCATCCCTAATTGGGATGATTTTAACTTATGATGTTTATTAGTATGATTCTTATATATTAAAATGAATAATCAATCAATAAATTATTTTTTTTTAAATTTTTATAATATATTGCTATATGTAAGTTATAAAATAAACTAAAATTAAGTAAAAAAGAAGAAGGACAATTATGTCATTTTACATTACTGAAATTAAATTTATTTGACATGTTTGCGAACCAAACAGAATAAGGAATTGGATTCCAATTCAATTTCCTGCCAACCAAATAGGTTTCAGATTCAGATTCCAATTCTTACAGATTCCAATTCCCTCAGAAACATTCCAGCGAACCAAACGCCACCTGATGGTTTGACTGATAACGGGAGTTATTTTTGTAATTAGTATGATTACAAATTTAGTCCTTAAAACTTACAAATTATATTAATTTGGTCCTAATTCTAAACAATTCATAAAATTTAATCCTTATATTTACAATTATAAATTTAGCCCTCCTTATTAATGCATTTAATCCTCAAAACTTAAAAACTCTATCAGTTTAATCATGCTTCTAACTCATTCAACAAATTTAGCCCTCATATTTCCTCTCAATTAGGTTCTAATTCTAAATAGTTCAATAAATTTAAACATCGTATTTGTAAAATTCTACCAATTTGATTATAATTCTAAATGATTCAACAAATTTATCTTTTAAATTTATACATTTTATCAATTTGACCCTCCACATTTACACATTTAGCCCTCAACGCTTACAAATTCTATTAATGTCATCATAGTTCTAATAATTCAACAAATCGTTGTCACGTTTATAAATCCTATCCATTTGGCCTTCCACAATTAGGCATTTGGTGCACATCCCCTACAACTTCTATGAACTTCGCCACAATCCTATTTTTTTTTAAAAAAAAATCTAATTACTGAAAATAAAAATAAAAAAATAATCAAATATTATAATAATAGATTTGATGCAAAAAAGATACTAAGCATCTTAAAGATATAGAATCTCTCCCTCTCCAAATTGATAAAATTATAGCAAAGTTAATTCGTAGTGTATGTTGTTTGTTTGCCGATAACTTTCCTATCGGCAAGTAATTTAACAATTTAGTACATATCTGTTCGGGTAAAAGATCGAAGGCGCCGAAAGGCTTTTGGAGCCGGTTCCATTAATTGGGACTCTAACAAGAAACTAATATGTTCTATCTTGAAGAAACTAATGTATGTCGGGATCTTAAGAATGCGTACCAGTATTGGTTGACAACTGACAAATCAATTTTCTTTTACTTTCCCTCTGAATGCAACCCATGCGACGACACAGTTAGTCTCCACTCTTTGATGCACGACCAAAACTATAAAAATATGCAAGCATATAACTGATTGGGGTGACTTCCATGTACGCATACTTGTTTCATGAAATATCTTACACCAGTCGGATATCTTCCTGCTAAATGTGGTTTAGTGCAGTCAAGACTCGAGAATCAGAATACGGAATAGAAGTACAAAATATTGTAGAACTCGAGATCAATTCACGAGTAATAAGAAAGCACCCCACTACAATCCATGAAACTAGTTATATATACAGGTAGCTGATCAGCTGTCAGAGATCGAAGATCCAGAAGCACCAAACCCGATTTTGAAATTGAAGGAAATGCAAGTTAACACTTGAATTCCCTCACCTGATATTGTCATCTTAAGTGTGTAGGAACCCTGCAAAAAATAAATAAATAATTAGATAATCACATATATGTTGACTGTAATGTAATTGGTTAGTGAGTGAAGCCTAAAAGAATCCAATTAGTTCTGCAGTTTGAAACCGGTGCATCCTGTTTCACTTTTGACCGTGCTTCCTATTGAAGTTCTTTCAAGATCAAACCACGCAAGCTAGATGGAGTTTGTAAAGTGCCAAGAAGAAAGGATAAGCCTCTGGATTCTGGTCTCTAATGACAGTTTAAGTATGCAACCAATTGGAGTTTATCTTCCACATAGGACATTCAGAACATATGACAAACTACGATCAAGGAATTAATTATCGAAATGATAAGATTCCGAAATTAAACAACAATATTATGTTAAACCAAATTGCAAAGAAGAAATTAAGAAAGATCCATCAATTGAATAAAAGATATAAGTTAGCCGAAGACAAGAAAAAAGAACCACTCATGACTACAGTGAGCTCAAGTTACCCATGCTTAGTTTGTTCTATAAGATTCATTATTATTTTTTTCCGATAAATCCAGATTCTTTTATATTTGTTGCAATTATTCCATGTTCCTAAAGCGCTGCTAACGGTAGGAGTTCATCACAGACTCACAGTTACACTTAGCCAAGCACGAAGTGAAAGTAACAGTAAACATCTTGCTCTGGAAAACTGAGTCAAATAGCACGTCAGACATGGATGAGTTTCGAATATCTCGTCCCATGCTAACGTTTTGAAATATGAAAGATGTTGATTTGACTCATCAGTAGCGGGAATCTGGCATCCCAAAAGGCAAAGTGGCAAACGTCTGGTACTTCCCAGCAGAGAAAAGAGACCTCAGGAAACAGGATATAATTGGTTTAAGGTCTCTAAGCTAATCGTTTGCTAAAGAAGAGCTTACTAAACAGGCAAGGATTAAACACAGATATGAAGGCTGAAGGGCATAATGAAGCCACGTTAGCACAATCTGAAATTGAAACAAGTTGTAGTCTTCTTTTTCTTGCTTGAACGACAAAGGAAATCCAGTGGAAGGAAGTAATTGTAACACTATATATATACATGAATGCAATTAAACATTTATAGAGTTTGGTACTAGCAAAGGATGTCACACATAAGCTAATGAAAGGTGTTTATGAGTTTTCTTACTGTGCCTGCACGAAAGTTGAGGAAAACAAGTCTTCTACTAATATATCGAGAGAGAAGAAAGAAACAAAACTAGACACCAAATATATATATATAAGAAAGAAATGGGAGATATTAAGATCAATAATGAAGCATTGCGAAAAACCAGTGCTTTGTCTAACTGGTTATCAAAGAATAGGTCAGTTAAATGTCTAAAAAAGTCAAGTTATGAGGGAACCTTGCAAGTGGTATGGTTCTGAAAATAGTTTCAAAAATGAAGAGTTTATCCCAGTTAAGTGAGGCTTACTGGTGGAGTAAATCCAGGTAAAACTTGATTGTGAGAGAGCACAAAGTTGCCAACAGCAACAGGGCAGGATGTTTCCTCGCAAAGGTCGTGAGTTTCTTGATGGATATGAATGCCAAAGTAGGAAACATCGATCACCGCTTTGCCACCGATGATAGCTTTATCTGCAAAACATACGCATTCATGAAATGTCAAAGAAGACTATCTCTGTGAACCATGGATGTGAAAAAAAAGGCATACACTGGCACGAACCAAGACGTTTCTGGATGCCAAGAACTTTCTTTAAGAGCTAAAGTTTTTGAAGAAAATGGTTTTTGCCATTAAAACAGAACATCATCCCACTCACTAAAATTAGAGGAGTATTTGCTTGAGAAGTTGCATAACGATGTAGGGTTTTGTAGATCATAAAGAGCACTGGGAAAAATTAACGTTAATGATGAGGGTTTCAAAGGAACTAATGAATTAATGATATTGATTTAGGGGTTGTGCTAGTACTTGAACAGTATTGAGGCCATTATTAGGGGTTTCAGGATTGAGTTTGACTGTGAAATCAATATCAGCAGATATTGAGGACTGAAGCTTTGATTCTAAATTAAAAGAAAACCTTAAATAAGGAAGATGAAGTGAAGGCTGTAAACCTGGATTTGTTTAGCCTATGTCTTTAGAACTTCGCATTTTCGGATGCGGAAATAAGATTGATCTTCCAAAGACCTAGATACTAGGAAAAACTAAAAATACAATTTCAATAAACCTGTATATCATAGATAAAGATCATCCTTGCATACTTCTAATCTTACCACACAAAGAAGCGTAGGAAAAGATTTTCTTATCTTTAACTTATGATCCAGAGTCCAGAAAACT